GGCTTTTCTGTAAACCTAATTACTTCCCGGAGGCCCCACCTCTAAACACCATTGCATTGGGTGGGGGTCAGAGCTTCAACATACGGTGGGGGGTGAGGGACACAAACATTCAGCTCATAACAACGGCGGACATAAATTCCAAAAGAACAAATTATAATACATGTAAACGTATTGAACTCACCAAACAGAAGGCGAGAATCTTAACTTAGATCCAACAATATTTTGTCTACGGAAGACAGGGTTAACACAAAAGATATGAGATAACTTGAAAACAAAGGGATGGGAAATTACATACTAGGAAAGTATGAATGAAAAGAAAGCCAGGATAGCAATTTAACTATGAAGAAAAATATAATTAAAGGCAAAAAAGAAAGAGAAGCATTTCATATAAAAGAAATAGATTAAGATGATTATAATTATAAAAAGATAAACACCTAAAAGTATAACATTAAAATCATTAAAACAGGGATGACAGAATGATAGGGGCAAATCTGTACACAAACTATTGTAATTAGAAAGCGAAACTCTATTATATATTGAGTTAAAATGAGAGACTTTTTCTGTTTGATAGGTCAAATAGGTGAAAAATCTATAAAAATATTTGTTTTGCATGAGTTGTAATCTTAAATACATGGGGTGGGTCTTGAGAATGAACTTTAAAATGAATAGAACAATTCTCAAATGAAATATTCACAGAGTGTCCACCAAGGAAGCCTCAGAAGTTAAGTCAAACCACGTTATCTAACTATAACGCTCTACAGTTTGAATCGACATAAAAATAAAAGCTGAAATATATGTTTAAAAACAAATATGAACTACTGAATTGTTCTTGGATTGAAGAGGACATTTTTATACAAATTAAAAATACTTAGACCTGAACAGCAATAAAAATTTGCGGGATACCATTAAAATAGTACCATGAGCTAAAGTCATGGCTTTTATATATGTATACTTATTAGGAAATGTGAAAATCAGCCAGATAAACTCAAAAAAAAAAAAAAACAAGTATAAAAAATCACTGAAATCAAGCATAGCGATCTAAAAACAAGATTAACAAAACTAAAAGCTGGCTCTGACAGGACTAGTAAGATAGATAAAATTGATTTAAAAAAAGGAAGGCAGAAGAGTGAAGAAGGAGGTATGACTACAGTCACAACAGATTTTTAAAAATAATATTATGAACTATATGTCAATAACTGCAAAAGTTTATATAAAATTGATAAATTCCTGGGAGAACAAAGAATGTCAACACTGGCAAAAATAATTGAGTAAACCACTAAGCATTGAAGATACTTAAATAGTAATGAAAGATTCCCTCCCCTCTTCACCAGAGCTTCAAACTCACTTTTGTATAAGAGTACTAATAAATTTTCAAGCATCAGCTCATCCTTACCTCACAGAGTTGTAGCAGAAAAGAGAAAAAGGAAAGCCTGCTTCATTTACTTCATATGATTAGTATACCCATGATTCAGTAAATTACAGTTCTGTTTGGCTTATGAGTTTTAACGCAAAAGTCTTAAATGAAGTGTTAACTTACTAAATCCATCAGTTTATTGAAAATAATACAGCATGATCAAGTGAAGCAATGGAAGGGTGGTATAATATCAGCAATTTTATTAATCTAATTCACCTCTATAATGGAATGAAGATAAAAGGAATGTGACTATTTCAGTAGATGCAGAAACAAACCACTTAATAAATTTCAAGGCATTTTAAGTTTCCATTTAAGTTTATTTACGTAATCTCTACACCCAATGTGGGGCTCAAACTCATGGCCCCAGGATCATGAGTCACAGGCTGTTCTGACTGAGCCAGCCAGGTGTCCCAAAACATTTCTGATAAAAACTTAAATAGCTGGGGCACCTGGGTGGCTCAGTCGTTAAGCGTCTGCCTTCAGCTCAGGTCATGATCCCAGGGTCCTGGGATGGAGCCCTACATTGGGCTCCCTGCTCCGCGGGAAGCCTCTTTCTCCCTCGCCCTCTCCCCCTGCTTATGATCCTGCTCTCACTGTGTCTCTCTCTGTCAAATAAATAGGTAAAATCTTAAAAAAAAAAACAAACAACTAAAATAGTTATCTTAAAGGCTACGACAAACATGGTGCTGCAGTGGAGAAGGTTTCTATACATTCCATGCAATACTGGGACCCATACAAGAATGCTCACTTCTATCACTACTGTTTAATGTATACTAGAGGTCCTAGCAATCAAGTAAACATGGTAAATAGATGCATAAGTGTTGAAAAAGAACAAAGTGGTATTATTTACAGCTGACAAATCATTTACATAGAATTTACAGTTCCATTTACAATAGGATCAATAGGTAAACCAGTAGATCTAATGAGAAAGGAAGAATTTTGCCACTGCCAGAGAATGCTAGAAATGTAATAAAATATAAAACAGAATTTATAACAACTAAAAATAGGAATTAATCTAAGAGAATATACCAGACTTCCATGGTAAAAATTTGTGACTCCATTAAAGAACAAAAAAGATGACCTGAATAAACTGATGTAGCATTTTTTTTAAGATTTTATTTAATTTATTTGACAGAGGAAGAGGCAGAGAGAGAGGGAACACAAGCAGGAGGAGTGGGAGAGGGAGAAGCAGGCCTCCCGCGGAGCAGGGAGCCTGATGCGATGCGGGGCTCCATCCCAGGACCCTGGGATCATGACCTGAGCCGAAGGCAGATGCTTAATGACTGAGCCACCCAGGTGCCCCCTGATGTAGCATTTTTATGCACGGGAGAACATCACAAGAATGTCTGTTTTCCCTAATTGCAAATTCACTCAAAATCCCATCAAAATGTTTGGAGCAACGTAATGTATTTATACTAAAATGTATATGGAGGAACCAATGTCCACAAATAACTCAGTTGGTTTGAAAAATAATAGAGGTTACCTGTCCTCCAAGACAGTAAGATGCTGCAAAGCCAGAGGATTAGAACTGTTGTGATATAAAGGAGGAACCGTAAACCAGAGGGGGAGATGATTTATGAAGCAGGGTGAAGTGGGAAAGCAGGGATTTTAATATATATGGAGAAATACAAAGTTGGAAATACCTCTTATCATATACGAAGGTTAACCCTGGATTCATCCTTCATTCAAGAAATATTTATTGAACAGCAACTATATGTGAAGGGCTTTTCCAGATACTGGGAATGTGTCCGTGAAAAATGCAAAAATCCTTGCCGTCACTGGAACCTTAACTGCAGGGAGTAAATGTACAAAAACCAGGCAGAGAAAATGTAGGAGACTTTTTCATGATCTTGGAGTGGGGAAGGGCTTATTAAACAAGAGTCAAAAAGCACTTGATGGGTTTGACTGTCATCATTAAACATGAACATACTTTATGACCCTATGGCTCAGAGAAATTCTCTTACATTTCCATAGGGAGATTCATTCAAATTTGCTCTTCGTAGTGTTGTTTCTGGAACCAACCTAGATGTCTATCTCTTTAGGAAAGGATAAGCAAACTGTGGTGGAAGGACACTACGGAATACTGTGCATCATTAAGATACTGAATTACATTCAACAATATAGATTAGAACCAAACTGGGTATTGAGCGAAAAAAGTAATAACATAATTGGAAGAATAGAATATTGTGTACGTAAATATAAAAGATAATATATTCACAACCAATGCTGTACATTCTACAAGGGTGCATACATGTCAAGGGCATATACCAAATACTAGTGAGCTGCTTCCTATGGGGGACGATGTGAACATTGGAATGAGAATTAGGGACAAGGGGAATAAAGATGAAATAAAACCGAAGAAAGGTCTTGTATGGATTAATGGTGATAATGAGTTAAGAACTAAGGAATAATCTCAACTCTCCATACTTAAGTCCAAAAGAAAGAGAGTGGGAGAGATTCCCACTGGAATTGTGAAAAGATGGCGGTAGGATCCAATGGTCCCTAAATTGGAAGGTACCTTAGCAGGCAGGCAGTCTAATTTCTGCATCTCTCCCATATCACCCTCCACTTAAACTACAACACAGGGCAAGCTGTTCGTGTAAAGATCGCTCTCGTGGGTTCAGAGTTCTTCCTGATGTATGGCTAAAACTTCCTATAAACACCCAGCCACTGGTGTGAGTTCTGCGGTCTGGCATTGTACCCTCCATCACAGAAGAGCACCCCAGATACTTGATACACCTGCTGTTGTAGTTTGTTACATCTTCCCTCTTCCAGTCCCACATGCCCAGATCTTTTAGCTGTTCTTCCCATGACCTGTTCAGAGTCTTCTAAAAAACTTCAGTGATTCATAGCATGACATCAACATCAGCTATTAAATGTGGCTTGCTCGTTTTGAGAAGTGTGCTGAAATCCCACTGGGGACCAAGCATCGTGTAAGGGGCTATGCATGGGTGCTCAGAAAAAGGAAGTCACTTTTATCAGAGTTACGATTGAAAGGTCTTGAACTCATAGTCTTGTTCTACTGGATTTTGAAATGTCTAAAGCTCAAATAAATCTCTGCTATCTGGAATGAGAGACTACATTTTATATATTGATTTATCCAGTCATCTGTCCAAGAAATAAATATATTTTCACTGGCACTGAATATATTTCCTGTACCAAAGGTTGCTGTGGACTCTGGAAACTGGACCATGCTTCTTTGTACCATGGGTATAGAAGCAAAGACCAGGGACCCAACCCCAGGGAGCAGGCTTGCTTCCGGTCTCCCTTACTGAACCAACCAGAAGGCTTTAGCTCCCTCAGCTCTCTGAATCTGGTGGCTGCATTTCACTTCTTACCGACTTGGTAGTAGTGACCCAAGAACTCAAAATGGCTCACACTTTGGGACTCCAACCACAACGTCTGTTCATGTTGTCTGGAAATCTAGAGTTCCTCTCTTTAATAACTTTGGAAGATAAGTCCAGGAGGGTAAAATGAATCACTATGGTTTGAAGATAGGTAAAAGAATGGGCATAGAATTTGGAACATTCCACACTAATCAGGTCTTAATTAAAATGTTTAACTAGCAGAAAAATGCAAACCAGTCAAAATCCTGTGAATGGGCACAGCTCTATGCAGCACACGTTTCCACACCGGGGGATATGAGGGAACCCAACCATGCTTCGGTGGCACTTAATATCTAGATGGGAAAAGGAACCACACAAAGGAGAATATCTTTAAGATGCCCACAGATATCACTGCGGTACAGAACTATATCCATGCTGCTGAAGTGGTTGGTGCATATATGAAATTGGGCAAAACCACTGAGTAAGTGTCTCCGTGGATGTGTCTGGCAGGAAAATCAAGATTAGTAAGAAGGAGAAGAGCTAGAATGCTGGGGCGAAGGACAGGTGGGAGGTCAGGGCCCTGCCATGACCAACACCAGGACAGGCAGGTGCAGAGACCATGTTGGCTGTTTGGGAGGCTAGGACTCAGACCTCTTGCCACTCCCATGTACAGCCCCATGACCCCAGGACTCCTCCACTCCACCCGACACATCCCGGCTCAGCAGAGAGGCAGGAACATGTGTTTGTTTTCCAGATGAAGAAGTGGAGACCCCAGACAGGGCAAGAGGTTTCTCCAAAGTCACATAGCCACAGGACGGGAACTCGGGCTCCTAACTCATGGCCAAGTGTGCTCTCTTCTGTATGAAGCTGTGCCTCCGATCGCTGGTCTGCAGGAGGGCGTCAACCATGGAGAATAGGCTCAGGCTGTCCTATTCCAAGCAAGAAGAGTGAGAGGGGGCAAAGGAGTTTCAAAGCTGTTCATGGTGTATGCATGGGAGGCAGGGATTCGGGGAACAATTTCTCTGAGGCTGGTGGACAGAATGTCTTCAGTCACCCAGACCAGGAGAGTCGGAATTGTCCCCTAGAGTTCAGTCTTCCAGAACCACACCTGCAGGAGAAGCAGGGTTGCCAGTGAGAGCTGTCACCCCATCTCTTCTCTAATCGCTTTGTTCAGTCTCCTTGTCTTCAAGGCAAGACCTCCACATAGTCGCTGTTACTGTTCTCTGGGGGGAAAAAAGCAGAAGACTAGCCATGAGGCTCAACATCCGGGAGTCACACGGACCAACCTCACTCAAGGGAAAGAAGACCCCTTCCCCAGGCAAGGAGGACCTCAATGCTACATCATAGTGACATCTTCAGGGGCGGGTGTATCACAGGGAGCTCCCCAGGCAAAATAGGGGGTCTCTTTATAAGTTTAGGCATCCGAGTTTCCCGCTCCAGCAGAAAACCTGTGTCTCCCTCAGAGTGAGAACATCTGAGGCTTATTCTTTTTTTTTTAAGATTTTATTTATTTATTTGAGAGAGAGAGAATGAGAGAGAGAGAGAGCACAAGAGGGAAGAGGGTCAGAGGGAGAAGCATACTCCCTGCTGAGCAGGGAGCCCGATGCGGGACTCGATCTTGGGACTCCAGGATCATGACCTGAGCCGAAGGCAGTCGCTTAACCAACTGAACCACCCAGGCGCCCCATCTGAAGGGGAGGAAGCCAGTGAGCTGAGGAGAAGATGTCTCCCCTTTGGCAGCTGAAGACTTGGGGTTACCTACCAGGGCTAATCAAGCATGGGCAACTGGAGTGGTAAGACTCCCGCCCAGTTCTTGGGAAAGATCTTGAAAGGACCCTCCCCTTGGCATTTGTGATTATTTTATCATTGCTGGACAGATAATGGCCACCGCCCCCACCACCCTTTGCAACTCATCTGGGTTTTCCTAAGGACTGCAGTGCACAATGTTCCTGGGTTTCTAGCTCTGCCCCTTTTTGTGCTTTTGTTCCTGTAAGTTTCTGTGGAATGTGGCCATGGGATTACACCTGTAGCTAAATCTATAGGAAGTGACTTTGTGTGTACATGGGTGCACAGACCTTGGCAGGGGGCAGGGGGCAGGGGGCAGGGGAAGGGTTGTTATTCTCATCATTAAAAACCCATGCTTAGTTTTGCTGGGAGGTGAGAAGCTTGCCCTGGCGGCCCGGAGGGTGACTTAAGTAGACAGTAGAATGTGGGGTGATTGCAGCCTCCCTGAAACTCTGCCCTCTGCCCTCTGCCCTCTGCCCTCTGCCCTTCTCCCTAGCTAGCGTGTCTCCCCTCAGTGCCCTCCACCCGGCCACTGATAACTGAAATCCCTCTGCTTGGGAATGTGGCCCTACGTGCCACCATGGGAAAACAGGAGTAAACCGTAAATGTCTCAGGAAATCCGTGTTCAATTCAAACCATGTTGTAACTGACAAATACTAGAGGGATGATTTTCTGAGGGCAGATTTCAAGGGGAGTGGGTAAGCAATTGTGGCTGCTAGTGATATGATTTGAGAAGGCGTCAGCGTGGATTCTCTGCACTCAAATTTGGCACTGGCCATCTCTCATTTTCCACCATGGCTTAATTCTGTTCAGGATATATCTGGAATAATTTGTCCCCTAACACTAAATAAATGAATGTTCAGCAAATATTGAGCAAAATGTACCAGTATGGGCCTTGGGGAAGGCATCGAAGCAATTTTCTCATTTGAAAATTTTGCCTGCTTGTCCGTCTATTCCCAAACCTGTGGTTCGCACAAGGTCACAGGATGAGTGTGAGGTCAGCTCTCCCAGAATGCCCCAGGGACCACTCCTGCTCTCCTTACTAGCCAGGCAGAGCGCTCCGTGCGTTGGCCACCTTCCAGGGCTCAAAGACACTGCTTCCCAACAAGACTGATGTTGCTTTTTTGTAGGCGAAGTCTTTTAGAGATAACATGACAGAACAGGGTGTGTATCTGTATAAATTCTACAAAGTCGGCCAGTGGAAGAAATGGGACTAAGGTTCCTTTCTGACCCCCACGTAAGAGTTTTTACCATAAACACCATCCAGCTTTATCTGTGATCGTCTCCATCTCGGGCAGAAGCTGGCTTGCTTTATCGGATGTACAAGGTGAACCACCAGCCCTTGATTTGGTTTCTCAAATGTGGAGATCAATTCCTTTAGGTTTGAGAAGATCTGTTTGGGAGCACCTTCTACGGTCTGCCAAAATACAAGGTACTCATCACCATCCACTGTATGTGCAATGTGACACCTCAAAGCAGTGGTTTGAGCCCTCAGAGCAAGGCTGTCTCTCCCTCTGCGTGTCGCTTCCCCTGTATTAAGGAATTATCACAATCTCCCAAAGCATGCATGACAAAGGAAGGAGTTCATATAAGTTGCTTTTTAGAAAATATTTTATGTTGAAATAATTTCAGACTTGAAGAAAAGTTGAAAAAATACTTTAAAAATTTTTATATCTATCCTTCACCCATAACCCAAATGTTTTTTTAATTCTTTTTTTAAAATTTTATTTATTTGGCACAGAGAGAGAGAGAGAGAGAGAGAGAGAGAGAGCCCAAGCAGGGGAAGCGGCCTGCAGAGGGAGAGGGAGAAGCCCAACACAGGGCTCAGTCCCAGGACCCTGAGATCATGACCTGAGCCGAAGGCAGACGCTTAACCAACTGAGCCACCCAGGCACCTCTCACACCCCAAATGTTAACATTTATATTGTACATATTTGCTTTTCATTTTCTTTTTCTAAATGTACATGTATATACATGTACGATTATAGGGATACACATACATATTCTTTTTAAAAAATATTTTGAGATTAAGTGTGGACATGAGAGCTCTTTAACCCTAAATAATACATCAATATTTCCCAAAAAGCAAGAACATTATAGATCCACACTGCAGTGATTAAAATGAGGAAATTAATCTTGATGTAGTACTACTTACTAATCTACAGAGCTTATTCAAATTTTGTCAGTTTGTCCTTTGTAATGTCCTTTACAAGAAAAGAAAAATTACACACACACACACACACACACAGAGGTATACTTAAACACATATGTGTGTGATGTGTGTGTATGTGTGTGTGTGCTTGGGGATCACGGTATATTCTAATTTCTTTCAGATATTCACAATGAACATTAGCATATTGAAGATTCTGAGAAATCTGGCAGTGAAAAATCTGCTTAACCTTGTCTGCAAGTGTTTCAAAAAGATTATTTCAGGATTCTTTGCTAGTAAAGATTCAGTTAATATTATACTCTACTTCCTAAGCCAGAGAAATTATTTCAAAACAAAAAGCGTTTTCTGCTTAATGCTCAGTAAACCAGAAAAATTAAAGAAACCCTTAAGACTGCCCACTGACTGATGCTTCCCTTTATATTTTCATACAATCGTGGAGCTCACTTGTCTTCCTACGCGTTCGGACTGCTCCCCACCTTCCCGTTCCATCCCGCCCTGGTCACTGTGTGTCTTCTAATTGGATGGTGACCTCGCCTGGAGTCCAGCCTGGTGCATTTGACCATTGGGGGAACCAGGGTCTCCACGTCTGAATAACAGCCTTGAATATTCAAAAACTCTCCCTATTTCCCTCAGAGAAAGACACGGTTTACTATGGATCTGACTCTAACTCTGCATGTTGCTTCCCTTTTTAAAATGCCTCTCTGCGGCCACATCTCAGCTTCAAGAGATGATCTCAGGTTCTTCTCCCCCAGTCTTTTGTTACAGGAGTTCTTGTACGTTCTTACCTGTATATTGTAAAACCCATGTCTCTCTTTGAAGATTCGGTATGTGTAGACGAAATTTTTAAACCTGTGGAAAGATGACTGTGTGAATCGTAATGTTCTCATATGCAAAACCAGGTCTCTTCTACCCACCACTCTATTTTCTGCACAATGCCTTTGGCAAGCTTGGGTCCCCAAAAGAAACTGATCATTTTCAGGCATTCTCATCTGTGGGAATTTGCAAGAGACAAAGGCTTGGAAACCGGAACACTTATTATGATGCTGGAAGTCTGGGCTTGTAGCAAAGAGGATAAGGAGAGAGAATTTACTATTTCCATGGTCTTGGCACTTCTCTCTAGTTTTTTCACTTAGCTCTAAGTTGATACAACATAAAGCCATTCCTGTATTGTTTACTAAATGATGTGTCATTGAACTTAGTTAGAGATAGCTAGTGTTAATGAAAAAAGAGAACGTTGGGAATTTCGCCCAAGGAAATGATGTATTGTGCTCTTGTTCTTCATAGGAACTGGCTCCACTGGCTAAGTAATCTAACCAGAATCTAGATAATAGACCCACTCTAGCAATTTCCAAAGCAAGACATAACATTAATACGTTACTGTATCTCTCCAATTCCAAGATGCCATTAATTGTAAGGCATCAATTTAACAATAGCTTCCCCAGGAGGAAAATGCATACATTAAATGTCTCTATCAACTGTTTAACATGTTCTGATTCCCCAGAAATATTAAAGTGTAAAAAAAGAGAGAATGAAAGACATTGACATGAGGCTCAGATTACCTAATGATCCCTCCCACCCTGGGGCTTGCACCTATGCCAAAGAATCATTTGACTGAACCGGAAATTTGGAAAGCAACTTAGACCTTTAAGGTACAGAAGATTTGATCACTGATTGTCAGGAGGCTTTGGCAATTGACTTCAAATCCCAATCCTTTTTGTGGGGGTTCCTGAGGCCAGAATGAGCCAGTGGGTGTCCCCAAATCACATCGCAAGCAACAAAATATTTCACATGAGTTTTTGTCCACATGTGACAAAGTATCCCATATCTGGGAAGAGGTCTCAAATATTTCTTTTCAGGGGCGCCTTGGTGGCTCTGTCGTTAAGCCTCTGCCTTCTGCTCAGGTCATGATCCCAGGGTCCTGGGATCAAGCCCCGCATAGGGCTCTCTGCTCAGCAGGAAGCCCGCTTCTCCCTCTCCCACTCCCCCTGCTTGTGCTCTCTCTCTGTCAAATAAATAAATAAAATCTTTATAAAAAAATTTCTTTCACAGAGGTATCATTCAAATCGGGATCCAAACGAGGTCCATGCATTGCATTTGTCTGATCATATAGTTCTTTGAAACCCAACGATCATATGTTAAATTCTTAAATGACTTCATTTTTAGTTATGTTGTTGTATTATCAGCTAAGAAAATCTCCACCAGAGGAGTATGAAAGATTAAAACAAATGGAGCTTCTATGTTAACTAGTCTAAAAGCCATATACTTCAAGTTCTAAAGACAGACATTGCTCAAATATGATCTTTTTCTTTTTTTAAAAAATATTTCATTTATTTATTTGAGAATGAGAGATTTAGGCTTATAACTTTGAACTTGTGGTTGCCCGTAACTGCAACCCTTTCATGCTATGAATTTCACACATCCCACTCCCAGATCCTTTCCTCTATTCGCTGACCCCATCAGTCCCTTGACCACAGAGCCTCCAGTCCTCTGGCCTTACCACTTTCCAGTGTTCCCATTCACCTGTCCTCGTTCCCTTGGGGTGCCGACTGGTCTCACTTCCAACTGATGACCACAGAGCTCCAGTGGGCTCTTGGTGCTCCAGGCAATCAGTGATTTCCCCGTTCCCTCAATAGTGATTGTACACTGTCGCCTTTCTTTAGACGCCCCAAACACTTCACCTCACTGATAACTTCACAGAGAATCAAGCAGTCAGAAGAGAATTCCCAGGCTCTGAGCTGCCACAGCTCTTCGCCTGCGGTCTCCCATCCTCAGCTTTGTAACCATGCACCAACTTTGCACGCCACTCTCTGGTACAAATCCCTCTTCCACTGGGGGCCACCCATTGTCATCTATTCAAGGACATAGTTCTAGCAATTTTTTCCTCTCTCTCTCTCTGAGGTCATAAATTATTATTCTTTACACGACAGCCAGGGTGGCCCTTATTTAAAAATGAGAAACAGATGTTTTTTTGACTTAGGTTTATTAACTTTTCCCACTTGTTCAAAAGATTTTCCCATACAGATAAATAGCATAAATATTTGTAATCTACTTGCAATCAATACGCTTTTGATTTCAGCCTAATGTATTTTGTCACTGATTCTCATTTCTTCTAATATTTAACAAACGTCTTTAAGTTGTGTGCCCCCAAAAATGTGAATCAGGTCATGTCCCTCCTCTGCACAAAAATATGCTCAATTTTTTTTTTTTAAGTTTTACTTGTAAGTAACCTCTACACCCAACACAGGACTCAAACTCATAACCCTGAGATCAAGAGTTGCATGTTCTTCCAATTGAGCCAGCCCAAGCACCCCTAAATCTGGTCAATTTCGAATAAGAAAAATAGGATTGGGGTGTGTGTGTGGCAGATGGCGGGGGGTGTTTCTGTATTAACAGGTCTCAAATCTTCTTATAAAGCTATAAATAAGACAGTGAGAACCGGTTCTAGGGTAGAAAAGATATTAATGTGATAAAATAGAGAGCCTAGAAACAGACCCATACGTGTCTGAAAACTTGGTATATGACAGAGCTAGCACAGCAGATCAGTGAGGACGGATGGACTATTTGTTAAATAATAATGGTAATGTCTTAATGTGGAAATATATAAAATCGGATCCCTACTTCACATTCTAATTGAAGACCTAACCGTGAATCAACAAAACAGTGAGCTTAGGGAAAAGTAAGTGTAAGTGAACAACTTGAGTTAAGGAAGGAGCTCTTACATCACAAAAAGTACAAGCCCTAAGAAAAGATTAATAAACTTACTATATTAAAATTAAAACTTCCAATTGTCAAAATACATTATTAACAGAGTGAGAAAGTCCACAGACGGGGAGAAGTTCACCGTAGCATTACTGTATGACAAGAACACTAATGTACCATTAAAAAAAGGCTAATGAAATGTCCACTAAGCATTTGAAGAGATGTTTTACTTCACTGTCAATCAGGGAAATACAAATTAAACCACAATTAAATGTCATTTCATACCAGATTGGCAAAGACATGAGAGTTTACTTATGGAAAATATTGGCCGGGATGTAAAGCTATAGGAAGTTCTACCTACAACTAGTGGGGATGTAATTAGATACTAATGTCTTGGAGAACAATTTGGCAAAGCTCACTAACGCTGAAATGCATACAATCTGTAAACCCAAATGTGCACTTTTTAAGATTGGCAATATTGGCACAAAACTGACAATGCCAATATTATATTATTTATTAAAAAAGCAAAGATCACAGAAACTAAATATTTGATACATTTAAACACATTTACAATCTAAAAAATCATCACTATATTATAAAATATTAAGTAAAAGTATAAATTAAGGAAAATACATAAGAGAAATACATATTTTCTAATATACACTATCATCAGATTAGATTAATTGGGGCACCTGGGTGGCTCAGTCAGTTCAGCATCCGACTCTCGGTTTCGGCTCAGGTAGTGAGCTCAGAGTCCTGGGATTAGAGCCCCACGTCAGGCTCTGAGCCCAGCACAGAGTCTGCTTAAGATTCTATTCTCTCTTCCTCTCCCGCTGCCCCTCCCCCTCCCTCTCTTTCCCTCAAATAAATAAATAATAAATAAAATTAATTAACTGACATACAGTATTCAAAAAACCAAATGCTCCAAATCTTATTAAATTTTCGTTAATAATGAAAAATTTAAAGTAAAATAGGTCTTTTTAGTACATTTTCGACGTGAAAAAAGGGAGGGAGAGAGGTAGAGATGAAGGGAGGGGGAGGGAAGAAGGCAGGGAGGGAAGGTGAATCAGTAGGGTCATCACTGAGTTCTGAGGATTTTTTATGCAAACGTTTCCATCCACTGGAAAAGCGTTATCTGTTGACACGGTTGGGGAATGCTAAGGGCATAAAATTTAAGTTAATTCTGAATAGTTGTCTTCGATTTGTTCGCCTTCAAACAATCTCATCCCTTGTTCTGCAACTTTAAAAAAATCTGTTTTGGGCGCCTGGGTGGCTCAGTTGGTTAGGCGACTGCCTTAGGCTCAGGTCATGATCCTGGAGTCCCAAGATCGAGTCCCGCATCGGGCTCCCCGCTCAGCGGGGAGTCTGCTTCTCCCTCTGACCCTCCCCCCTCTCATGTGCTCTCTCTCTCTCACTCTCTCTCTCAAATAAACAAATAGAATCTTAAAAAAAAGTTAAAAAATCTGTTTTGAACCTTTTGGATCTTTATAGGAGTTGATATCTTTACTGAACGTAGAGTTTGCCACTTAAGCCGTTACTAATGTCAGTGGTTACGTTTCTAAGATTCTACATGCTCACTGACCGCTCTGAAATGGTCTTTATCCGAACACAAAAACAAACGGTTGAAAGGGCTCAGTTTTAATTCCAGTGTAGTTGACATACAGTGTTGTATTAGGTTCAGGTGCACCATATAGTGCTCCAGCACGCCCGTGCCTCACCTGGTGCTCATCACAAGAGCCCTCCTTAATGCCCATCACCCGTTCTCCCCATCCCCCCACCCACTTCCCCTCTGGTGACCAGCAGTGTATTCTCTAGAGTTAAGAGCCTGTTTCTTGGTTTGTCTCTTTTTTCCCTTGTTTTGTTTCCTAAACTCCACATACGAATGAATTGAAATCATTTGCCCACAAGACTGGTCGCAGATATTCATGCCAATTTCAACTATAATCGATCTGGCTGAGTAGACAGATTGTAATGTCTCCCTGGAACGGAATACTGCTCAGCAATGAAAGGACTGAACTCTGGTGCACGGAACTATACGGATGAATCTCAACGTAATTATTCCGGACGAAAGAAGTCAGACAAAAAGGGCTACTACTTTCTGATTTGATTTACATTAAATTCTGGGAAATACATAGACATCTGTAGTGCCG